TTCTATCATACAACGTTAATTAGTTAGTCGACTGTGGCCTGCACTTGCTATACTTCGTCGAATGATAGTTTCAAATTGGACAGTCAATCTTTTACTTTGAATATATGTCATGAGTATTGCAAACGGTATCCGTTACGAAATTGATTCGGTTAAATTAAGAGATCCTTCTTTTGATTCGACGGATATTTTATGCCGTTCTATTTAGTATGGAGAGTGGCTCAATTTGGTAATTGATTTGCTTGAGATGTCTACATATTTTTGGAGACGGTTGAAGATTTTTATCCGACTGCATTTGACCGAACGCTTTCGCCGCACTACGGCGAAAATGCGATTAATTTACGAAGCACATCTTATCTGCATTCGCGCAACGCAGCTCCTCTTGGCTTTATCGCTGAGTTCCGTAATTTTGCTCGTAGTCAGCCTTGTATTCTTCCGTTGATTCTTGTTTGATTTTCACATCGTCTGCGATCTCCCTCGCGGTTCACCCAGATACGAGAAATACGTACAACTCTCAGATGGCTGGATTACTCGCTTCGCCCACCGTTGACGCTTGTTTCTCTGAGAAAATCCGCACTCGCTTTTGACTCAGATAACCGTCCCCCAGGTTTAATCACGAATCATTCTCTGCAGCAAATGCAATGAAAAGACTGGTATCCTCGAGCATGCACACCTGTCCTTGTTTGGACGTCACAAGCACGAAGGGACTGAAGATAGTCTTTATGAAGATCAATAATTCTTAACACAGTCCTTTCAACAATGGTTTGCAGAAGTGCATGTTCCCCCTATGTGAAAGCAGGAAACAGTCACTCCTGGCTACAAACTTAGCAATTATGCAGAGCCTTCGAACTACCGCACATGAACTCTCAACTCAATGCACTCCAAATTAGTAAAAGCATAATCACAGAAGCGCTTATAAGATACCTTGGGAGCAATGACATCATAGTGTCAAAGCTGCACGGATCCCGCTGAAACCGGTCTTGCAATACAGAATTATTGCTTGTGCGAGAAATTTGGGCGGAACCAATCGATGCCAGAGCGGAAGTCGACATCGTCTACGTGTACGTTTCCAACGCCTTGGACTGCTGAGACCACCGCATTCTTCTTCAAAATATCCGAAGTTATGGAATTGCTGACCCTTGTCTGGGTTGGATAAACAACTGCCTTATTCATCGTCAAATGAATGTGAGAGTCCGTAAACATTTCCGAGCCCAAAGAAGTGCAATGCGACATGAGGGAATCTTTAGTACTGGGAATACACTTATTTCCATTGTTTGTCAAAGATCCTACAACTATGCTGCCGTCAAGCTTTCTACAGTTTGCAGATGACGTCAATATCTGGCAATAAATTAACGTTGGGGAAGATCACAAGAAGCTGCGGAGGGATTTCTACAGGGTGTCTAATGGGTTACCGATTGTTTCTGAATCAGCTCACTGTCGGACACAATGAGGAATGGAGTGTAATGGCAACTGAGACCTCAATATCTTAATAACGAAAGGCGCAAATATCAAGTATTTGTCATTTCAACAGATTGATTAGTTAAAACCGTTAATTCCCTTCAGTAGTTTGAACAACGAAATGAGAAGACGAATATTGGCAGATGCTAGACATTCTCATGAGTCGCAGGGATAATGGGCTGATTACGCGATCTGTATACCGGAAGCCAACGTGATCCGGCCAATACCTACACCTCACTAGCTTCTCACCGATGGCACACAAATGCTTGCTGGTAAAACATGATTCACTCGGGCCAGACGTATCTGCTCCAACGACTGCCTGCCTGAGGAGTTTGAGCTGATCACTAAAACACTTATGGAGAATGGGTACCCAAAGCGATTCATTGACAAAGTTAGCCAAGTTGGACCGCCCAAGGAGATGGTGTTGACAGCCCCTAAGAAAGGGTGTCCATCAAGCTACCATTCAAGGGTGACACCGCAGCAAGAAGGATAACGAAACGCATTGTCTCAGCGATTCAGTGTACATACTGTGCTGCGGAGGCGGTAATTATCAACAGAACCCGAAAGTTGCCGTTACCTTCAGTAAAGGAAATGAACCCGTCGGTGCCAAATCACTGGCGTCTACCAATTCTTGTTTGACTGCGGTATCAGTTACATCGGCAGGACCGAACGGGCTTTAGATTCCAGGGTGAAGGAGCACTTGCCAAACTGGGTTCAGCGCGAAGTTACTCAAGCCACCTCCGATGATACGTGCTCGCGTAAGCCGCCATCGTCCTCCTGAGGCAGACACATTTTGGCGACTCGTCACCAGCCAAATCCCTTATGGGCGTTCCGGATCTCGGTACGTCATATTAATGCACGCCATTTCCGATTTCCCGAGGCCGTCGCGATAAGCCGAATTAGACCAGCTTTGTGTGTCCAAAAGCAAATTAGTTGTCAACTGGCGGTTGGGATTATTCCAATAACAATGACCACAATCATATATTTGAGTGGCTTGACTGTGCGCTGTAAGACATATAAAAGGATTTCCCTGTTATTGTTTTGGTACTGACGAGATAATACGAAATGCTAACATCTGTCAATATTCGTCTTCTCATTTCCTTGTTCAAACTGGTTATATTTTAGGTGTATTCCGTGATAGCAGTGGCAGATGCCAATCTCACATTGTTTGTGAAACGGGTTGGCATGAAGATCTCATGTCTCAAGGACAGGTCTGCGAAGTAAATTCACCATGAGATGCAACAAACTCTGTTGACAATTGTCTTTACTATCACATTATCAAAGCCCGGATATTTCGGTTTTACTTTGATCATTTCAACGTTGAGTTTGAGCCTCTCGTTGGGCGTCCACAAAACCTGTACTAATCCAGCAACCTACAATGCTTTCTATGAATTAATTATGAAGGACCTGCGCATATCCGCTGAAATATTTGCCCCGATACAGAACATATCACTATGGTGTGTTTGGTTGGTTATCCTTACCATCCTAGACCTATGTAATGGTTCAGAAAAGTGGGTGCCGAAATATTTGACCGGCGATCAAAAAAAGAAACGAGTTGAGGTTAGCAAATTATTCCACCGCCTCCTTACACATCAAATCCGGTTCTGTCCCACTATTATATCTTCTGGGATTTGAATAATCCTTTGAAGGGGAAGTTTGAATAGATTCCTGACATCAAATATGCTGTTGACAGCTGGTTTGAGGCACAAGCGAATGACTTATCCGACCGGCCTAGAATAACTGCAGTTATGCTGTACTAAGTGCATCAGACTCATAGGCGAAATAGGTTGTATAAGCGTTTCGTTTCATGACTCAAACATCCACGCTTCGTTGCAAAGCTAGGACCTCATTTGTGAACACTTTTGAGATTGCCTATATCTGTCACCTAAATAATTTGAGTGATCATCTCAAACTGGCCACACACTACAGTCGAGTTGATTGCTGACATAATGCTATCTCACTTCTAATATTCCAAACATAGAACGACCTTCAGACTCACGTCCCTTTCAGCACTACGACAGGCACATCGGCGACACGCTATCCAATTTACATTCTATGTTACAGCCAGCTGGAAGGCGAAATAATGCGAACCAATCAATGGGCTCACCAGCCCTCTCCTTAGCACAGTGGTAAGGAAAGCCGTATCTAAGGTCATGTGAATAGCTCGGTAACTCAAAAGAAATAAATAAAATGGCCCTTTACGTATGCTATTTTTAACCTTGGATTATAATTCTTACTCGTCAACCTAACGGACTTGCATTCAGTCGCTTTTATACCATCCATCAATTCTATTTAATTCTGGGACTGTTGGATGAAGACCATAAAACGTAGAACACGGTGGATTATCAGGCTATCGATATAATGCAGAAGGTTCAATAATGTTGTGCGGCAGATTCGCTTAGTATACTAGATACAGACACTGTGTATTCAAGACTACACCCTAACGCTTGCGTTGGATTATCCGCGCTCACGTAGCATCTTAGGATTCTAGAGGGACAGACAAAGAAGTTAGGCTAAATTTCGTTTTCTATGCTATGGTAACAGACCAGCTGCGACAGCGTTGACTCGTCAACTGAACGTAAACCATCTAGCAAAGATTAGTAAACGGCTCCTTGATTCCGTGGCCCAAATACAGCAGTCAGTCTGTTGTAATATTTATCGTGCCTACCTGAACCGCAAGGGAGATTGTTGATGATGTGGTAATTAAACACGAAGTAACAGAAGACGAAAAGACTGGATACGCCCACATCCACGGAGGTCAGTGATAAAGTCACGTCTAGCTTTGATACCCTAAATTGGAAAAACTTATGATGAAATAAAGCGAGGAAAGTGCTCCCACACTGCAAATGGACATGGCAAATATTTCCACATGTATGGTGTTTAATCACCCTGGTATCAGATTTCGAACTTGCAGATCACGAAATCACACATATACTAAGATGCCACTCCGTCAACTTGAAAGATGCAGACATCTCAAGTAAATTAATTAGCAAATTGAGCCACTCACCATACTAAATAGAACGACATAAAATATCCATAGAATTACTACAACCATATATTAATACAATCGAAATAACTTCGTAACGGACAACGCATGTAGTGCCCATGACATATCTTCGCAGTAAAATTTGAATGTCCAATTTGAAACTATCATTCGACGAAGTATAGCAAGTGCAGACCACAGTCAACTAACTAATTAACGTTGTATGATAGAAGGAAGTTCGTCCACTTTGGAAGCAGAAACATTTTACTCCATTTGGTCACTTTTTCTCACAGCAAACCGTGAGACTGTCAGGCAGCGTGCAGTCCTGCCTCACTCAGTTGTTCTGAAGTGCTTAGTCCGACAATCGACTAAGTATGGTTGTGCTCGAGATGCCTCAGCTTCATGTACTAGGCACAGCAGACCTGTGATTGCAATGCACTCAGACTGACGAGAACCACCCCATGGTCAGGTTAATAGAGCACGTCTTATTTTCGTGTGAACCGCTTGCTACGACAATACGAATAAATATATGAACGCCGTGGTCATTAATTATTATAAACTGATGACGTTCAGGGCCTTTATTTTGTGCTATGTTGTGATGCTATTTGCTGGCTCCATCCTAGCAAACAGTTGGTGTGAGTGATCGGAGTCGGGCGTCACTTTGTATTTCGTCACTTGATTTGGGGATAATGGAACTGTCTCGCTGCCTCTCAATTTCAGGGTCAGCTTCAAGTGATGACACTGGACAGCAAAGTGAAATCGAAGAGCATTATTCTCGCAGAGATGAACCAGAGACCGGCCACGCGAACCCAGCAAAGGTAGGAGTCCATAAATTATTCCACTATGATAAGTTCAAGCAGTTGTTATTAGTCCACTTATCTCTCAACCGACTGCCTGATATATTAGCGTGTTGGCTTACCGAATGCAACCAGTTCCACAGTTATGTTACGTGTGCTTACTTACAGTAGTCAACGAGCGAATTTACTCTGCTGGTTGTAGTGCCGCTTGATACATATGTTGAAGTTGCTTTCCACTTTTAATGAGACAATCAAAGAAACGATGCAAGGCAAAATCTATTAGATTGAGTTGACGTTCTTCATTTTCAGAGCCAGCTGGACAGCCCTACATGCCCTGAAATCACTGTACATCCGAGTTAACTACTCGTTAGCATTTCGCATTTCATCTGACCTCCCTGGGGAATAGATCTCCGGCGACTAGCGCTCCGAATCGCACCAGTGATCTCCTAACTCACTTGCTCCGGTTTCTCAAAGAGCCACATTAACTATTGTTCCAAACGTCGACTATAATCACTGCGGCCTTTATTTGGATTTCACATTCTACTATATCTAGCGGAAGGGCAGGAACTAGGGTGCAGCCATTCATGGTGATAGGGGTTGGGCGGCCACGAAGCACTAAACATGTTCCAATCTTAATTCACAATTATGCTACTATCTGTAAACATTTGGTACTGTGCTAGATTCACAATTGTGGCTACTTCAAATTGCAAGGCATGATTTTCACTTTGGGATTCACACTTTGCGTTTTTGACTGACAATGCATTTATGTTTTATTCACATTTACAAGCGATATTTTTGGACTCCTGACGATCATGTAGTACCGATGGAGATGAAACACTGGACAACTGACTGATGCTCAGTTGAAGTTGGCTGCAACGCGTTATTTTACGCTGCCTGCTGCTGTTTCCTTATCGCGTTTGTAATATCTGGTAAATACAGAATTTGCTTGGTAGTACTGCATCACTATTTTCTGTCCCGTAGTCCTGGGTTATTGTAATTATTACTCGTCGTAAGGCTAACTTGTCAGTGGTTACATCTAAAACGTTTGTGGAAAGATATCTCAGTTTGCACTCTCGGCACGACAAACCGCATTATCACTCCTTCATTATTTGATATAAGACTAAGTATCCAAATTTAAGTATGGTATACATAAGTGCAGAACTTGGCACGCATTCGGGTGTAGAATTATGATTTAGAGTGTATTCGCACACAGCCAATCGCATGCAAGAATATAGTGATAAGGAAATGGTAGCTGACATGAGTAAGAGCTAATCCGAGCGATATATTTCACGTGGCATGCAGATGATGAGTCAGACACAGCCGAATAAGGATATAGCGTGAGCAGCCGCAACGCACTGTGAAATTCTCTATGGTCGAGCTATGGGAGGCGAGTATACAAGAGTAAGAGTTTATCTTTCATGTCACTGTACGGTTGGAATTCTTGTCCTGTAGTGGCGCACGTCTGTTTCAATGAGCTACATGATGGACCATGAAACTGTTTGCGCTTTGTACTTATGATACCTAAATAAATATCATTAGTTTACATTCACATTTTAGTTAACTATAGCCATTCTTCTATCACTTTGCGTTTGTTGCAAGTACATCCCATGCTTTCCATTTTCCTGTCATTACGCGACGATCAAATCTCTTTTCCTTGTGTACTCACGCCTTATCGCCGTACTATTCTACGGATATGTGATTGCAATTTTCATCGAATACGCTGGCGTGAATTTCAACTTAACACCTGATATTGTGTTATCAAACAAAGCTTGATGTTATGGTCCTTGAGACTGGGGCAGCAGAACATATCAGCCAACTGAAGCGCATTACAACGCGCTCAACTCTACCGTGCTTAGTATTGATCTTAACCAGCTGCGAACAACGTGCAAATGACATTCGGCTTCTGGAGCATTTGGCAGAAGGCGATCACTCCGTTCTTACTGCCAACCTGGAGCTATAAGTGAAACGATTCCAATCACTGCATTTAGATTACAACTACAGGAGGACTGCTATCGACAGCCTGACTCGAGCCGAAAAGCAGGTGGATTGGGCACTGCTGCAATCTATATTTGTAGACGCTTGTTTGTCAGTTAGTGCAAATCGATTATGCTCATTTTGTAACAAGGTTGTGCCTCCCAAGTGTCGGAATGTCAGTCGGGTCAAACCATATTGGTACGACAATGAATTTGCTAAGCTGTCTCGGCGGCGGCGCAGGCTGTGGGACAAATTCCTTATCTCTGACTAGTTGGAAAGCTATGAGGTGTATAAAAAGCAGGGAGTATATGCAACAATTCGAAAACGAGCAAGCGCAGGCGCTTCGAATAGCAGCTTGCAATGGCAGCAAAGACTGCCTTGAAAAATAATCTTTGCTACTTGAATCAGAGCGTGAAGCCGACAGGTAAACCACCAGTGATAGAGGAAGCGGACGGACAGCTAAGACAATTCAGCATGCAGCGTGCATCCGCCTTGTCGACGCACTCCGCATATGTGTTTGCAAATCACCAGGTGTCTGTGCCGAGTTCGGCGTACATCACACTTACCGAACTCGACAATCTGGATTGTGGTGTAGAAGAGGTGCATCAACTATCTGTCATCCTTGACGGCTTCGAACTTGCTGCGCTTGACGACTTCATATCCTTACGCTAAAGATCTTAACGACCATCATCTAGGTTGCCGTAACTGACTTGTTCAGCAAGTGGCTGTCCGAGGATTCATTGGGATTGATTGGATATGCTCGGTGGTAAGGCCGATTCCGAAATGAGGTGACCCTGCTGCGTAGACAAATACAGGCCAGTTTGTTTGATATTTATTTTGGCCAAGGTTGCTGAGAAGTCAATGAAGAAGCGTTTGCTACGGCTGTTCCGGTCAAAAGATACATGGATGTCCGCATAATACCGTTTCATTGCAGATCATCCATGCATCACCAGTTTGCTCGTGATGAGGCGTGAATGACTGTAAGCAGGGAAGCAGGGGAATTCTGTTCATGTGGTGTGCATCTATAATCCCAAACTCTCAGTTAAATCATCATGAGGTTGTTCTCTTCAAGCTCAGCGAGCATGCGGTGTTATCGGATCGCTGTACCAGTGGATCCAGGTCTTACACGTTGGACGAGAGTACAGGGTACAATTCGAGAGCCATCTGACCAACTGATCTCCTTTGAATAGTGCGCTACCCCAAGGCACGGTATTGGTGCTTACCTCGTTCTTGATCAATAGCAACAATCTGCCGCAGCTCCCTAGGTCATCGTGTACTTTGTTTGAAGACCACCTGAAGATATGGAGGATTATAAGCAGTTTGGACGACATTGGTCTACATCAGCGAGACCTCCACCGTCCTCCCATGTGATCTGTATAAGTCCGCCCGCCGGTCAACCCATCGAATTCTGTATACATGAGTCTGTGGAAGGGTGATGACGGCCGAGTCTACACTCTTCACGGCAAACTGCTGCATCCCACTCCATTCGGGACGGAGCTAAAAGTTGTTTCACATTGATTTCCGTAGTCCGAGGACAACACGAACAAGCTACACCGAAACGGATTGCGCATGCCATGAGCGCACAAACACAGCTTCTGCATCTGGTCTTAGGTGGTTGCCAATTGCCTCTCCTCAGTGGCGTAGCAACAACTACTGCCTATTTGTAAAATTTTCGTCCTGACTGAGGGAAGATTAGGTGCGTGAAAGCCACACAATTGGCCCAGCGTAAAGTGCACATTGGTGGCCGATGTACAAGTTGATCGTTTGGGACACTGAGTTAAATGTGAAGAAAGTGACCACAACGGAGAAGTAAGGGGATAGATTCGAAGAACGTTTGCGCAGATGTGACAAATGGCGCAAATATGTTGTTTGTTTTACAGAGTCACATTAAAGCCTACCGCACACAGATTGTCCCAATATTTTGTCACTTATATTTTGTATCGAACAATCGACGGTAGTAAAAGTGCTGCCCCATGAAACATGCCGCGTATTACTGTCGGCCCCTCCCCAGCTTCGGTCCCCTTGCAACACCTCTAAATCTCCTCCTCGTTCTCCGGCCAAATGTTAAAACGCTGTTTGCGCATCTATTGCCCGATCACACAAGGCAAAGCGCAGAAGATTAACTTGGTCCAACACGTCGTTACCTGGCTCATTCCCAGTTTGCAGGACTTATTGTACGAGGACAGGTGCGAGAGATTGGTCTATCGTAGGGCGCTAGACGACCTCATCACAACCTGCCGCATGCTGCATCTGCGTGAGTTCCCCATGCTGAGACCGTTGCTCCATTTGCGAACAATTCACATACACGCGGACAATGTACGAGCTTGTGGAATCCAGACCTTATCCTCTTCACATTGATCGGAGTATGTTAAGTGTCTGAAACGGATTACCCAAGCACGTAGTAGCAGAACATACAGTGCAGCATTTAAAAACCATTGTTAGATGCACATTTCTCAAGTGTTTGACTCCCAGAAGTGTTACCCCATGATAACTTACAGGATTTAGTCCCAATTTACTCTGAGTTACGGGTAGATTTTACGATGTCCCGTGAGCAGGTGCAAAACAATCAGGGTATATACACGGCATAGATAGATGGATTTATTTTAACTTGTTTCCCCACATTTCGATGGAGTTGGAGAGATTCAAATTAGTACTTGACCACACAATAGAGTTATAAGTGGTCTGTTTCCAGAATGTGTTGCGGTATGCAAAAGACTAGCTTGGAGTCAACAAAGGCGCACAGAATCATATATCTTACCCCGTGTTTGTCAAATGTAGTCCGCGGATCCCAACATTCTTCATTAGGTTTATACATGGCGCAACGAAACCCCACTCCTTCCAACAGGGTACCTGGGTTTAGCAGACACACATAATGTGTCTGAACGAAGCTGCCAACTGTCAGAATTTTACTGCGATCATCTCACTGTGATGTGATGGGCGGCGACTGGAGGGATAATTCTACGACTGCGTAAGCGCATCTAACGCAGGCATTGTCCCGCGGAAAAAGGCGATATGTACGTCATAAGATATGGCTAATTTCTGCGTTTATTTTAACATCTTCCATCCTCCGAATATGCCAAATCAGAAATTGATGCCCATTGGCGCGATCTCCACCCACGGAAGTCCAGAAGGAAAGCGTGGATATGTCGTTGTTTCACCAGTGCGCTCATTTGATTTCCCAAGTTGGAGAGAAACAAGCTCTTCGAATTTACAAAAAGGTGGCTGTTTTACTTACGCTACTTTGTATTTCATTCATTGTCTGAATTATTTATTAAGCAAATTCGACGAATATTCTGGATTCGATGTTGGATTAGTTACGTACATCTCGGCATTTTTGCGTAAAACATCAACATAATCCGTTTGCTGAAGACGGGAACATTGGTAGTTGTGTCAAAGAAGTGTTCATTGTCTAATTCAGATGTAGTATTCGTTGGGGCATGTAATCTGCCATCTGCAATGCAATAACTGAGACGATCGATGTACCTCTACTGCCTAATTCGATGCAACCTAAATGTTTGCAAACCGAAGCATTTGTAGAATAGGTACGATGAGCATCACAATGATATTTCTAGTGAGTAGTGGGGATATGTTTTCCTTACTGTTATTTCCTTGCGGTCCACTCTCACACAGCAAGTCTTGGCTAGTCTGTGAAACACCACACACCGGTGTTTCGACATTCTGGGTCTCGTCATTGGTGTGTATTCTAACAGACCCCTGCCTGGTTCCGCACCCATGACGTTCGGATGCCAGCAGGTACAGCCACTTCGCCATGGGTGACAGCCGTTTGTCTGCGTGCTTGACAGTTAACTCCGATATAGTAATAGTCAGATGTCAAGCACGTAGGCCCGCAGCTGTCGCCCATGGCGAAGTGGTTCTACC